AAAAAAGATAGAGAAATANACTCCATCTTTTTCTAGATCAAATAACTTGCATTTGTTTTTGTTTTGTTAATAACTTGCATTTGTTATGATCATTATGATCGAATAACATGCATGTGTTATGATCAAAATTTAATGCAAGAATGTTCATTTTTTTTATAGAAAATATTATAATCGAATAATTATACCTCGCATGTTAAAAGAAATTGGACAGTTTTGCTGGTTTAAATTGATTTTGATCAATATTTAATTTTCATAAGAAATAAGTTTCTAATCATTTTTTATGATTTATACATATACTATTTATATTTTTTAGCAAATTATAAATCTATAAAATACTTTTTTTGCAATAAAAGGAGCTAAACTCTAAGGGTGGGAAGCCTTAACCCTAACAAAATAAACAAAACTATAGTCTAATTTAGCTGAGCTATAGTGAAATCTAGCTTGTATATGTAGTGTTGGGTTAATTTTGGAGGGTGGTTTTATAATCACGTCGCACTTATCGTTTTCATATTACTTTTCTACCAGCTTTTATATCATATGATCGTTTATCAATATTTTAAATTGATTTTGATCAATATTTAATTTTCATAAAAAATAAGTTCGCAGTCATATTTTTTATAATTATTATGAACGAAAAACTAATAAAAATAACGATTAAAATTTGATAAAAGAAGTGTGTAAAGTTCCGTTTAGGTTGATATGCCCAAGAACGAATAGAATGCTCAATTTTTATTTTTATTTATTTTTTGTGAAATTACTACAATAATCTTATTATGGTAGAGAGCATTAACCCAAGGGAAGCCTAAATCCTAACAAAGTTATGGTTCGATATAGTTCAAATATAGTAAAATTTGGATCATATATATATTTATTTAAAAGGGTTAATTTTGGTGTGTGTTGAGTATGTGATGTTCGGTTAGTTTTGGTGTGTGCTTTTATTATCACGTCGCGCCTTTCCTTATTATACAATTATGTACCAATATTTATATCATGATATAGCCTACCATTATTTTGATTTATATGATCTCTTATTCAAAACTTCATAGATTTATCAATCTTAACCCATAACGAACTATATAAACTCATTTCAACTGTAAAAAAATTGGCTTGGATGTAACACTGGACAAAAAAATAAAGTATTAGT